TACAGTCGAGGATCAAGCGAATCGCTTCGATGAGCGCTACTTGCATTGGATGCTTCGAAATTATGTAACAAAATCGATTCGAGAAAATATAATCAAAACAATGTGAAAAAAAGAACCAGAAAAAGGGACACCCGGAGTCGAACCGGGACTCTCTTGATTCGCAGTCGATTGCTTTATCATTGAGCCATATCCCGTGATATTATTCAGATTGAGATTTGATACATTGAAATTTAAGTATATACATTCAAACAATCTGCATAGTTCAAAGCACATAACACACATTTATTGAAGGTATCTTTTTTGAAAATTCTAATGAACGATATATGTACGAGTTTGCAATATGGTCATTAAAAACTCTGAAGAGGTAGTTATGTCTTAAAATTATGTTAATTGATGTAAAGCCTATTGTCCAAAATATATTTTGCGATGAACATCTTAAATATTATTGTTTTGGTTTGAATATTGTCTTAGAGTGTTCGACAAATGCTTTTACTTGAGTTTCATTTTCACAGATTCGTGGAAGTTTTTTATCATCTTGATAGAACGCACCATTTTCTAATTCATTTGTTGGTGTGTTAATCACATACAGAATAGAATCAGCACCAATTGCTAGTGACCAACCGCCTGCAGCTTTATCATTAAGATCCGTGGCACAAAAGCCAGGACATACAGCATAAATGGATATATTTTTGTCATTACAATATTCACGTGCTTGAATTGAGAAAAGAGCAATCAAAGCAGCTTTGGAAACAGTATATGCTGGATAAGGTATCTCAGAAGAATACCCGATACGTTCCAGATCGTAAGATTCACATGCTGAAAGAAAATCCTGAACAAGATGCTCAAGTTCTTGTGTCGTTAATGTTGGTGACGTGTATTTTTCTTGAAGTTCTTTCGAAAAAAGATATGATACCATTGGACCAACAGTGCTAGCGACATTAGCGACACGGTCATGCTCACGTAATAGAGGAATCAAATGTTCATTAAGCATTATAACACCATAATAATTAGTGGCAAACGTTGTGCGTGTCCCTTCAATCGAATTATCTCTTGCTGCGATTGCAGCATTATTAATAAATATACCTAAATGACCATTATACTTCCGTTTATAGCAGCAATAACACTTTCTTTTGACGATGTATCCAATTGTAACAAATATACGTTCGGTGGAGAACCTAATTGTTTGATTGCATCTTGGCCACGTTTGATATCTCAACTACCAAGAAGAATAATGTCAGTGGTTTTTGAAGACGATTGCTGAAGAAATTCCTTCACGACTTCAAAACCAATATCTTTATTTGCTTCAGTCAGTAAAACTACACGTTTTTGCTCTGTCATTGCCGACGTCTTGTTTACCAGAATGATTGTGCAGTATGAGACACACCGTTCTTATATAGAAAGGAAAAAACGTAACGATTGTACGTAAAAATACTTTCTGTTAATTGATTATTTTACCCTGCTGAAAAGAGACGAAGTTTGAAGATGTGTTACATTACGAACTATATTTCTTGGTAGAAAACTATAAAAGGGAACAGAATCAACGAGAGTATCTGAAAAATATGAAGTTCGTATACATTCTAAACGGCAGTTTACCTTCATGATATAATTATTTACAGAGGAGTTGTTTTCACCAGAGTATTGAATAAGAATGACATGAATCATGGCGTTTAAGATAGATAATTGCTTTTTTTGCATAAAAAATAAATATTCACATTGCTGCAATCTACTTAATATGGATACTTACCGTGAACAAACTTTAAATCTTGAATCTCGTGCTAAGCTGCTTCATCGGATGAGTGTGCGCTCGACTCTCACTGTGTTCTTACTTTATTTTTTCCTTTCGTCTCTCAGACCGTCAGGCTACTGAATATCTTCTTTTAGATCATCCACGCTTCTTCGTTGATGATGCGCTGTCTTTTGATTGCATCAAAGACGATGTTCTTTTTACTCGTCCATCGAAGCATATAAGATGTCAGTGTACGCGTGTTCTTTCCAATCTTTTTGGTCTGACTGACTATACGCTCGTTTCTCTTGTATGTGTGTGTTCATGTGGCTCATGCGTTGACGAAACACCAATACAGTAAGTGCTAAAGATGTCCTCTTCTAGCAAGATTTCCATTTCGTTATTGTAAGGAAGGTCATTGTTAGATAGTTTTTTGGTTTATCTTCTCTTCGCCTCTTCTCTTCTCCTCGTATATCCCAAGAAGGAATGTTAATTTAATTTGTTTGTTAAATAAAACTGAATAAATTATTAAACTAACAATGTAGAAGGAATAACATTACGGAGTAGATTCGTCAAACGTTTAGGAGAAATTCTTCCTCCGTCGTCAGTGAGTGATAGGTTTTGGCTATTTCTCGGCTCAATTTATTTCGCTCGACCTGCCTATTGTTAATAGTGGAACGGACGACCGAACACTGGTAGATTAACGTCCAGTATTACCATCTTGTTCCACCGTTCCACTATTAACAATAGACAGGTCGAGCGAAATAAATTGAGCCGAGAAATAGCCAAAACCTATCACTCATTGACGACGGAGGAAGAATTTCTCCGAAACGTTTGACGAATCTAATCCGTGATGTTATTCCTTTACATTGTTAGTTTAATAATTTATTCAGTTTTTTTTAACAAACAAATTAAATTAACATTCCTTCTTGGGATATACTAGGAGAAGAGAAGAGGCGAAGAGAAGATAAACCAAAAACTATCTGGCAAGAATTCCATGTTCCAAAAGTCCTTTCATTGAACTACTGTTACGTTGCTTTGCTCAATCAAGGAGATAGCCGTCATTCATTCTACGAATTTCCATGTAGTGCTTTGGCAAAATGTTCGATGAATCGAAAGATATCAACAGAAAACGAAAGACCACGTTGCTTTGATGTACGATTGAGTGAGACATCCGCGAACAGTCAGAAGTGGGGAATCCAAGGGATGTGAATGAGTGAGCGAGAGATAACTCAGAGATAAAGAAGGGGGGCGGGTTTGATTGCAAATCGGCCCTAATTGAAGATTTCAAGTGAAAATTTGTTGAGAAATACTAGTTTTAGGCATTTTTCACTAGCTTTCTTGTAGGGTGAGGGGTGAGGGTGAGGAGATCTTCGGACCTCACTAAAATACATACAGCGCAGTGTTTACTAAGCCCGGCTTCTACCACATTTTGTAGCCCTTGAAAAGTTGTGACGGTAGTGTTAAAAGGGGTCCGGTTCGATACCAGAAAGGTGATAAGAAATGCCGAAAACTAGTATTTCTCAATAAAACTTCACTTGAAATCTTCAGTTAGAACCGATTTGCAATCAAACCCGTCCCCTCCTTTCACAGGACTTCGGCGAAGTCCCTCGAGATTGCGTCTGTAATGAGAAAGGCAAGATTGGTCTCGCCGGTTGTTCTCTTTTATGAAGGTGCACACAGCTGAGGGTCTAGTTCAGGTCAGAATCTAATAAAATCTCATCAGTGGCACTCGAGCCTCGTCTAAGTGCAGAAACTGTGGACCTTGCTACACCACAAGTACTTAGGAAAGAACGTCTCCATTGCTTTTTCAAAATTCTTTTTCAAATGTCGTCGGATCTATTGCAAAAGTTGGGATGCTCGCAGAAGATATTCAGAACCAGGAAATATTGTGCCAGATTAACCAAGATGTACATGGTACAGAAAACAGAGTAGTGAGAAAGAAGGTGTAGTGATGTTGACCACTAACTGTATCGTCTGCAAATACTCATCAATCAAGGTACAATGAAATTTTTCATCTCATTCTCGTTGTTCTTAGAAACTATCAAACAGAAATTTGAGAAGACGCTGATAGGTAACCATGAGATGGCGTTATCAGGACGATCAGGTACGGTTAAGAAGACAGAAATCTACACGATCAAGAAAGCAGTCAGGAATAAAA